AAATGTGAATAGTTAAGCACCCACAGTCTTCTCTATTCCATTTAAAAAGCAAGCATTCTTCAAATTGTAATTTAATTCAAGAATCAAGGGGAAGTTAGGAAGGCATTAACAACTCTGCTTATTTTCCTAGGCTCTTTACGTGAAAGCAAATTTCAGCTCATTAATTTCATTTTTAAATATACCTCAATTAACAGTATTTTATCTATGTATTTGTGAATCTTTTCGTCACAACCAAAATAGGTTATTAGGAAGATGATCTATATTGTACCTAATGCAATGTGAATAAAGGAAACCAGGAGCTTCTTAAGTTGTCGATTGAATTATGAGAGCTCTTGTCAATCTGAAAATCTGTGTAAACACATAAGCTTCTGATTATTGACTTAAAAAAATCTGCATCAAAAATAACACTAAGCAGGGACGCCTTGGTTTCTCAGTCACTTAAGTATCTGCCTTTGGCTCAGGTCATGATCCCAGGGTCCTGGGTTCAAGCCTAGCACCCACCTTGTTCAGCAGGGAGTCTGCTTCCCCCTCTCTCTCTGCCCCTCCTCTGGCTTGCTCTCTTTCCCTCTCTCTGAAATAAATAAAATCTCTAAGGAAAAAAAAAAGTCACATTAAACACTAATAATCACTCTGGCTTCCTTGGCATCCAAGTATTTTTTAAAATCTTATACTACCAGGGCGCCTGGTTGGCTCAGTTAAGCAACTGCCTTCGGCTCATATCCCAGAGTCCCAGGATCCAGTCCCGCATCCGGCTTCCCAACTCCACAGGGAGTCTGCTTCTTCCTCTAACTTACTCCCCTCTCATGCTCTCTCTCTCAAATAAATAAAATCTTTTAAAAAAAGAAATCTTATACTTCCAGTAATTTTTTAATTTTTTTTTCTTTAATTTGACAGACAGAGATCACAAGTAGGCAGAGAGGCAGGGAGAGAGGAAGGGAAGCAGGCTCCCTGCTGAGCAGAGAGCCTGATGTGGGGCTCGATCCCAGGAGCCTGGGATCATGACCTGAGCCAGAGGCAGAGGCTTTAACCCACTGAGCCACCCAGGCGCCCCTACTTCCAGTAGTTATTATTTTGAAGTTAAGAATTTCGTATCTTTGCACTTTCATTTTTTTTTTAAGATTTTATTTATTTATATGAGAGAGAGACAGAGAGAGCATGAGCAAGGACGAAGGTCAGAGGGAGAAGCAGACTCCCCGTGGAGCTGGGAGCCTGATGCAGGACTCTATCCCGGGACTCTGGGATCATGACCTGAGCCGAAGGCAGTTGTCCACCAACTGAGCCACCCAGGCGTCCCATGCAAAGCACTATGCAGCTCTAGATATTTGTGACAAGTCTCTAAGGTAGTTCTACATTATCTTGAATTTATAGCTGAGAAAAGGATTTAAACAAAAAGGAATTTTTGAAGGGTAATGAATCAGTGCAGCACTAGGATACAAATATTTGACTTTCTACTTTCTAGGTCAGGAAAATTACAGTTAGTCAAATCATTTAGATAAAAGCATTTTTCATACATTTCCCTATTATACCACTGTTCTGGGAATCTGTTAAGAAGACAAAGTCTTTGCTTGAAAGTTGGTTCATTATTTCTCCTTTGGCAGTAGAAAATAGCTTGCAGATGGTACAACTGTGTGTTTCAGGGAATAAGCACTTTAATTGGGTATTAAAGAGATTGGGGGTGTTTCTCCACAATAAATATAACCACTCACAGACCTTTGAGACATTAAGAAGGGGTTATAAACCCAAATGGGATCATAGGTCTGCTTACAACATAAGCTCAAGAATACCAGAAAAGAAAACAAACTTGCTATTATTTCTCATAGAGAACTGCACGTTTCCAGAGTAGCTTTCTTAAGACATAAATCACAATACTTCATCCCCAAAGTGAAAAATATTTCCCTATCAGAATGTGTACAACCTCCATTTCCTTTATGGTTCTGCTTCTTTCATTCATGGCTTTAGATACTCCAAGTAAACCTGGCATATAACATTAAAACTACTATGATTCCAAGTCTCTACTTTGAACAGTATGTTCCTATATTAAGATGTCTGAAAGTGGAAGGGTTTTAAAATACATCTTGTGGCTACAAACACTGACACATAACTCATTTTCTTCACAAAACATTAATTTAGTCACTGCTTAATATTAAAATTATGTATTTATGTCTTGGTACAATTATTTTATTACAATCAGGATGACAATACAAATAGCTTAATTTAATAGGTAGCTAGTATTATGACCCAACGGTTTAATTCTGAAAGCCCACTGTTAAACACAAATATCTTCTATTTGAATTCTATTTAATAAGCTTCAATTTCACAACTCACAGCTATTTAATACAATTTTGTTACTCTTGGGGTGCCTGGGTGTCTCAGTTGGTTAAGCGGCTTTTTTCTGCCCAGGTAATGATCCCAGAGTCCTGGGATCAAGACCCGTATCAGGACTCCCTGCTAAGCAGCGAGTCTGCTTCTCCCTGCCACTCACTCTGCTTGTGGGCTCTGTCAAATAAATAAAACTTTAAAAATCTTTTTGTTACTCTTAACTGTCTTTCTACCATTTCTGCTGTTAAGATTCAGGCTATGTTTAACTGGAAAAATTACAGATTGGTAACAAGTGTAATGGAGATGTGGAGAGTCCCTTGTAAATACTGTTAGTAGGACTGTAAACTGGCAATATTTTTGTTTTCTATATGTATATGTATATGTACACACATACACTGTCCGACATGCAAATTCATATGTAGATTTATCTAACAGAAATACCAACCTAAGTGAGCCAAAATAAAAAATTTAAAAAAAAAATTAACACAGCATTATTTGAAACAGTGAAAAATGAAATGAAACAGTGTAGAGAAAAGGCAGCAGCATAGGCCTGAGATTGCAATACTTAGAAAGGCCTGCTTGCAAGGCTAGCCCTTGGCTGACGTCTGAGAACCTGACTGGTGAACAGTTCCCCACACTGAAATAAAGCTTTTCCTGAAGACCCAAACCTGTACATGAAGCCATCATGGAACCGACCTATTTTACAACCCAGAGCACCATCCTGCACTGAGACTCAACTGATTTTAACCTTTCCTTACTGCTAAGTCACTACAAAATAGGGTTTTACTGCTTCAAGTGAGAAGTACTCCTCTGGATTTCCATTTCTGTTGGCTTATATAAAATGACACTGAAATTATAGGCAAGAGCCCTATATTTGTATCCCAGATGCATCACTTACTAACTCTGAATGTGGGCAAGGCACTTACCATCTTAAGATAGTTTCTTCACTATACAAATGAAATGATATTTTAAGTATTATTATGAAAAAACAGAGGGCAAACTCAATGTGTCAGCTGTACAATGTTTGTAAATGTTAATGATCAGACAAGTTCTAGCAAATAATCTAGTACACAAGATGCCAATGATACCTCCTAGTACCCCAACACTAGTATGTTTAAATCCCAGAAGCTCTGTCCAATGTCCACATTATGAAAACTGCCCCATCTACTATCAGGAACATCTGAAATCAGGGGAAATAATTTTGTTTAGTAGCTAATGCGATAGCATACATTCTAATAAATGAAAATTTATTTGGGCTAGCATCAGTATTTTTAACTTAAAAGATTATACATATCACACATTTTCACTCACAGGACATTTGCAAAATTCCTGAATATACAATGCTGGAAAACAACATGGAGTATAATCAACTATAAGACAGGCTGAGCCAGGGAGCCTGGGTGACTCAGTGGGTTAAGCCTCTGACTTCAGCTCAGGTCATGATCTCAGGGTGCTGGGATCGAGTCCCGTATCGGACTCTCTGCTCAGCAGGGAGCCTGCTTCCTCCTCTCTGTCTCTCTGCCTGCCTCTCTGCCTACTTGTGATCTCTCTCTGTCAAATAAAAAAAAATTATAAAAAAAAAGACAGGCTGAGCCAACCACATGGTGTGGAGATGGTATGTTAGTGGCAGCAATTCAAACAACATGGTTTAAGTGATCTCCATTTAAATATCTTAAGCAAGAAATTAACAGAGGCATGTCCACAAAGTTTAGAAATCTTTTTCCATGAGTATCATCTATTCTGTACCATAGACACATTCTGGAATTTACATTATCACTCTTAAAGGTTTTATTAGAAATAATTAGTATTTAGTATTTAGGGGTGCCTGAGTGGCTCAGTCAGTTAAATGGCCAACTCTTGAGGATTCTCCCTCCTTCTCCCTCTCCCTCTGCCCCACTAGCCACAATGTGTGCACACGCACAGATGTGTGCACACATAAATGCATGCTCTCTCCCTAAAAATAAATAAATCTTTTAAAAAATTAAAAATAATTAGTATTTAAATGTATTTAAACAATGTACTAAACTGATCATATATGTATATATATGGCACATGCAAACATATATCTATACATACATATACATATATACATACATAATGTCAGGCCAAAGGGAGCTTTAAAACAAGCACCAGACTATTTAATTGATTGCAGAAGTAGAAACTGGGCTTCCTAAATATCAATCGTATAAGTTACTGACCACATAGTTTCATATGCAAAAATAAAGCAAATAAGGCAAAAATTGTATTGCACTTAACCATACAATATATAAAATAGTTAATACATATCATAAATGAATCCATTATCATACTATAAATTTAATAATCTACTTACATATAATAAACATTATTACTTCAAGAACAAATATCTTAAATAGTTAATATTATCAGAACTGTAAGAGGTATAACATCACAAAAAGTTATAGGAAACAATAATAATCTGCAAATAACAGGATTATTTCTATTACATTCTAAATCCAAATTTTATTTCCATTTATGCAGGTTTCATAAAAGGAAATGCTAAAATTAAATTTTGAATTCTTATTTCTAATTTTTTGTTCCTTTATAACTCTAGAACAATGTTAAGATATTGCCATTTCAGAGAAATAACCTATAGTTTCCCAGAAGAATTATTTTTAATACTGGCAGTCTTCCTGTTCAATATCCAAAATATAAATCTTTTCTTTTATCGGAGATGTCAAAATTAAGACTTCTTCACTGGGTTCTTTGTTCTGTATTTTCTTTTCCTCTTGGGTGCAGTGAACTCTAAAGACATAAAATTAAGAAGGCTGTCAGGTCTATAAAATAATACTTTAACTGATAACATACTTAAATAATTGTTTAATTGGAATGCCTCACAACAAAGCTCCAACAAGAAATCCTAAAATCCTAAACCTAACATATACGTGATTCCTTCCTTCAAAATGTCACTGCAGTTGAAAACTTACTAAAGTAGACTCTAGTCTTCCTAAATCCTATTTAATAATAAGTTACTTTGAAGTTGTTTCAGATGGGTATGCTTTCTCTACAACTAGCATAGACCCAGTGTGCCAGATCTGAAAGGTATACAGGCCAGTGCAATGAGATAGAGTGATTAAAATTTGAATTTCATTTCAATTAAACATGAAAATGTAACCCAAATCATTAGTACCATACATCTTTTTTAAAACTTATTATGTTCAATTAGCCAGCATATAGTACATCATTAGTTTTTGATGTAGTATTCAACAATTCATTAGTAGCATATAACACCTAGTGTTCATCACCACACATGCCCCCCCTTAATACCCATCACCCGGCTACCCCATCCTCTCACCCTCTCCCTTCTGTAACCCTCAGTTTGGTTCCCAGAGTTCAGAGTCTCTCCTGGTTTGTCTCCCTCTCTGATTTCTTCCCATTCAGTTTTCCCTCCGTTCCCCTGTGGTCCTCTGCACTATTCCTTATGTTCCACGTATAAATAATTATTCCTTATGTTCCACTATAAATAGTTATTTCAAATTTGAATGTAAAATTTTTACCTATGGAATCATGATTGTAACTAAATAGTTGTAAATTGCATGACATAAATTAAAATGGCTCTACCTTTTAGTGTTGTAGTTTTCATAATTGTAGTATTTATTAAACAACAGTTTAAATAATATTACCTCTAGTAATAATTATAGTATTATAGAGAATAAATTATATTTAACAGGCTAGGCTTGATAGTTGGTAATCCATCAATGATAATGAATACAATGTGTGTTAAGATCAATTTTTTTTTCATGTGGCTTTGTATTCATTCAGCAAGCATATCCTGAGTGCCCATCATGTTTCAGGGCTATGTATAGGGCTATAAAGATATATACTACTGGCTTTTAAGAACCATTTTATTTCGATCTCAGTTATTATAGATCTGAGTACAGTGACTGGCCCACAGTGGACCTAAGTAAATATCTGTTGAATGTATCAGATCAGTCTGTGCCTTCGAGGACCTTAGAGTTCAGTTAGGGGAAAAAAACACCCAGTTCATTGGGGTAGAGAGAAACAGTGTAATAAAAATATATAGAAGACAGGGCACCTGGGTGGCTCAGTAGGTTAAGCTTCTGCCTTCAGCTCAGGTCATGATCTCAGGGTCCTGGGATCGAGTCCCGCATCGGGCTCTCTGCTCAGCAGGGAGCCTGCTTCCCACCCCCACCCAATGCCTGCCTCTGCCTACTTGTGATTTCTCTCTCTCTCTCTGTCAAATAAATAAATAAAATATTAAATATATATATATATATATAGAAGACAAAGAATAGGCATTTCACAAGGAATATTTGTTTCTTCATAAATGTGAGTGCTTCTGTGATTTGCTTATGTCAGCATAAAATAATCCTTTATAATCTTGTGATGAGTTTCAGGCTATAGTTTCTTTCCAGTCTTGATTGGTGGCTTTTTTTGTGAGTAAACAGTTAAATATGCATACATACCTTTATGGCTCTTTGGCAAGTCCTATTTTAAAATCTATCAGTTTATAATTTTTAAAAATTTGGTTAAATTATAATGACATATGCATATGTCTTAATTCACATAATTTTAGAATATTCATTATAAGAAACTACAGTCTTCTTTGATTCCATTTCTTTCATATTTTACTTTATTTTTGTTATTTTCAGTTAGCCAACATATGGCACATCATTAGTTTTTGATGTAGTATTCAACGATTCATCACTTCTGACTCTTTATTGTTTTGGTATTTACCTCTATGTCTTTAAAAAATGTATATTTTACTTTATGTTTTAGTTCTATGGATTATCTCTTGACTTTCCACTGAGGAAGGCAAGGGTATAGTTTTCTTTAATATATTCTTCACCTCCAACTTCACACACATGTATACTTCCCAGGCCCAGCCTTCAACATAATTATTTTAGCTATGTAAGGATTCTGCATTTATAAAACATTATTGACAACAGAGTCATGTAATGGACTATGATTCTTACTTAATCTGTACATTTATCGTTTTCCCTAGAGAGTGATAACTTTTTGTCTTATTTATTTTTTCTATAGACTTAACACGAATATATCTTCAAACTCTTCCTCAGTCATGTAAATCTCTTGTTGGGATATTAGGACACATGAGGGATTTTGTCATTTTCAGATTTTTAAAAAACTTTCTTGCTGACCTCTAATTTGCTTTACTGGACGGTTTGCTTTCTTGGCCTGCTGCACTTCATCCTGGTTGCTGCTGTCTTCTAGGAATCTAGAAGATTCCTGAAATCTCTTTTTCTTCTTATTTTCTTCTTTGTCTTTTCTTGTTCCTTTTCCCATCACTCTTCTTTTGTTTTTCATTGGTGGGGAATATTTTGTTTCTTTATGTCTTTCATAATTTTCATGTTTTTGTATTTTCTGTTATTTTCTTTGGTTTTAATGATTTGTAATTTTTAGGTTCATACCTCTTTCTAGATAAACATTTATTTGAGTGTTGGTTGTGGCATCTCCTGTTATAGCCAGAAAGATGTACTGGAGAGGATTATGCTGAGTGAAATAAGTCAAGCAGAGAAAGACAATTATCATATGATTTCACTCATATGTGGAAACAAATATTCCTTGTGAAATGCCTGTTCTTTGTCTTCTATATATTTCTATTACACTGTTTCTCTCTACCCCAATGAACTGGGTGTTTTTTTCCCCTAACTGAACTCTAAGGTCCTTGAAGGCACAGACTGATCTGATACATTCAACAGATATTTACTTAGGTCCACTGTGGGCCAGTCACTGTACTCAGATCTATAATAACTGTGATCGAAATAAAATGGTTCTTAAATGCCAGTAGTATATATCTTTATAGCCCGGTACATAGCTAAGTGTTTGAAACATGATGGGCACTCAGGATATGCTTAGCTGAATGAATACAAAGCCAAATGAAAAAAAAAAATTGTTCTTAACACACATTGTATTCATTATCATTGATGGATTACCATCAAGCCTAGCCTGTTAAATATAACTTATTCTCTATAATATTATAATTATTACTAAAGATAATACTTAAACTATTGTTCAATAAACACTATGAATTATGAAAACTACAACACTAAAAGGTAGAGCCATTTTAATTTATATCATGCAATTTACAACTATTTAGTTACAATCATGATTCCATAGGTAAAAATTTTACATTCAAATTTGAAATAACTATTTTTTAACAATAAAATCTTTTTAAAGTTATATCCAGAAACTTACTTGTATTTGTGAGCCTTGCCCTTTCTTAGGAATACATTCCAGACATCCTCATGATGAGGTACACTGACATACTAATAATGGTATTTTACCTATCCTTTTATCTCTCCTTTCATTTATTGTATTAACATTTACTTTTTTTTTTATTTTTTATTTCTTTTCGGCATAACAGTATTCATTGTTTTTGCACCACACCCAGTGCTCCATGCAATCCGTGCCCTCCCCAATGCCCACCACCTGGTTCCCCCAACCTCCCACCCCACCCCCCACCCCTTCAAAACCCTCAGGTTGTTTTTCAGAGTCCATAGTCTCTCATAGTTCATCTCCCCTTCCAATTTCCCTCAACTCCCTTCTCCTCTCCATCTCCCCTTGTCCTCCATGTTATTTGTTATGCTCCACAAATAAGTGAAACCATATGATAATTGACTCTCTCTGCGTGACTTATTTCACTCAGCATAATCTCTTCCAGTCCTGTCCATGTTGCTACAAAAGTTGGGTATTCATCCTTTCTGATGGAGGCATAATACTCCAGTGTATATGGACCATTATCTTCCTTATCCATTCATCATTGAAGGGCATCTTGGTTCTTTCCACAGTCTGGTCACCGTGGCCATTGCTGCTATAAACATTGGGGTACAGATGGACCTTCTTTGCACTACATCTGTATCTTTGGGGTAAATACCCAGTAGTGCAATTGCAGGGTCATAGGGAAGCTCTATTTTTAATTTCCTGAGGAATCTCCACACTGTTCTCCAAAGTGGCTGCAGCAACTTGCATTCCCACCAACAGTGTAAGAGGGTTCCCTTTTCTCCACATCCTCTCCAACACATGTTGTTTCCTGTCTTGTTAATTTTGGCCATTCTAACTGGTGTAAGGTGGTATCTCAATGCGGTTTTAATTTGAATCTCCCTGATGGCTAGTGATGATGAACATTTTTTCATGTGTCTGATAGCCATTTGTGTGTCTTCACTGGAGAAGCAACTGTTCATATCTTCTGCCCATTTTTTGATATGATTACCTGTATTGTGTGTGTTGAGTTTGAGGAGTTCTTTATAGATCCTGGATATCAACCTTTTGTTTGTACTGTCATTTGCAAATATCTTCTCCCATTCCGTGGGTTGCCTCTTTGTTTTGTTGACTGTTTCCTTTGCTGTGCAGAAGCTTTTGATCTTGATGAAGTCCCAAAAGTTCATTTTCGCTTTTGTTTCCTTTGCCTTTGGAGACATATCTTGAAAGAAGTTGCTGTGGCTGATATCAAAGAGGTTACTGCCTATGTTTTAACATTTACTTTTAAGTGTCATGATTAATACTAAAATTCTCCAATGTGTCAAGGAAAAAAGCATCACGAAAACACACAGGTAACCACCATGCTGTTCATGGGTTCTAAACCTTAATGCTCCCCAAGCATAACTTTCCATCAATATTTGACAAAATTTCATCCATACCTGTTTCACTAAAACTTCCATTGTCCTCTTCCTCTTCTGTAATTACAGGCATACTCAGCCTTAAAGATTTATCTTCTTTATGTACATTCTGCATGTCATCTGGAAATAGTTAAGAAAATCATTTCATACAAAAATTAAGAATATTAATCATTGAGAAAAATTTTTACACAAAATGAAGTCATTACTACAATAACATAAAAATTAGACATTTAAACTAAATGCTAAAATTGTAATGGTAAAGAGAAATATGCATTTTAAAATCCTTATCTATTTTAAGTATTCTTTGTATCTCTGCTTTGAAAATAATTGAATTCTTCCATTAAAGTAAAGAAAATGAAGGAAAAGGAAAGAAATTAAATTAATCAAACATGAATATTTTACTCAAGCTTTATCACACACATCATGGGTTATATCTGTAGATATCAAGGAATAATTGTGAGTCTTACTTCAACTATATAAGCTAATCACAAATGTAATTTTAAAGGTAATAGCCTTGTTTTTGAATGTATACTATCTTTTCTCACTGTATCTGCTCGATTCCTCTAATCATAATTTGCCACTGACTTACCATTTTCCAAAATATTTTTCTACATCAACCTTCTGGTGCCTAAAGAAATATCCTCATCATATTTATCAAATACCATTGTCTTATCAAGTCTCATTTAGCACATAACTTTCAGGTCCAACAGCAATACCCTCATACATTCTCCTTCCTCATGCTGCCTTATTCTTTTCCACAATACTTTTACCATCTGATCTATTATTACATGTTGATTTTTTTCTCTATGGTCTGCCTCTTTCCACTAGGATGTAAGTTTCACAAGCACAGGCTTTAAGTCAGTGTATCCCCAGCACTCAGAAAAGTGCCTGACATACAGTAGGGCCTCATAAATATTTATTAAATGATTAAATATGGAAGCAATGATTTTATAACACAGTATTTCATTTAGCACATATGTTAACGCATACCTATCAGCACTTCTCATAAGGTAAGAAATTAAATGAAAATAAACTTAAATTATCTGCTCTGAACACATATATGCTGAGATGGGGTATAGAGTTTATGGAAAGAACAGACTGCTCTAAGGAAGAGCTGAGTAAACTGTAGCAATAAGCTTCTTAAATACAATTTAAACTTAATAAAATAATACCAGTTTCCCAGTAAGTCATTAGAATTTTACCTTTACAATCATAAATATTAATTACAATATTTTATTACGTAAGTTTTAAGATGGTAGCTGTTTTAGGAAATCTCTTATTACATCTAATCGGGTTTTTTAAAAAATTTGAACCTATATTTCCAGTTCACAAAATTATAATCAGTACAATCTACCCAAAGTTACTGATACTGTTCTTCACAATCTTTTAGCCATGTCCATCCATATCCATTATTAATGATTTTTCCCTAAATCCACATTTACAACTTCAAAGACTATTCAACAATGTCAAGATAAGGATTTCTGAGTTAAAACTGGACAGGTGAGTGACACCTTGGGTGGCTCAGTCAATTAAGTGTCTGCCATCTGCCTTTGGCTCGGGACATGATGCCAGGACTCTGGGGTCGAGCCCCACACTGGGCTCCCTGCTCAGCATGGAGTCTGCTTCTCCCTCTCCCTTCCCCCCATTCATGTTCTTTCTCTCAAATAAATAAATAGATAAAATCTTTAAAAAAAAAAAAAAGGGGGCAGTTGAGAAGTCTTCATCTAGTAACATGATGATTACTTACATTTTAGATGGATCTCTACATTAAGTAAGTTTAAAAAATAAAAAGCAATGTTCTCTAAAAGCTCTTAAAAACAAATACAGTGCTTCACCCACCTATCATACAGCCAGAAACCAAGAAGTTAACACACAAAACTTCAGATGTTTACCTCAAAGTCCACATATTAAATAAAGCTCATGAACTTCAGTCACCAGTATGTTCCCCAGGCCCCTACCCAAAACCTGATTACGTTTGTTTTACATAAAACTGAAGTGAAGAGCCAACCAGTTTCTGAAATCATTACAGTTAAGCAGCAGCAAAAGGGCAAAAAAAAAAAAAAAAAAAAAAAATTGCTATAAGCCAAAATGACAACAGAAAGAAGACAACCTACCACAATAAATGTAACAAAAACTTTTTAAAAAAATAAGACATAAGAATTGACAAAGTACTGCATAAGTACAAAGTATAAAGATAAACTTCCGCACACACTTATTTCTTGATATGATCATTATATTCTAAAGCCTAGTAATATAAATATGCTTATGATAATAACCCTGAGTCATAAAGATTAAATTAAATTGTGTTTAGGATATACTGTTCTAGAAAGTAGGAGGGCACAGCTGGGTGGCTCAGTCGTTAAGCAACTGCCTTTGGCTTGGGTCATGATCCCAGCGTCCTGGAAGTCCTGGGATCAAGCCCTGTATCAGGTTCCTTGCTCAGCAGGAAGCCTTCTCCCTCTCCCACTCTCCCTGCTTGTGTTCCCTCTCTTGCTGTCTCTCTCTCTCTGTCAAATAAATAAATAAATAAAATCTTTTAAAGAAAAAAGAAAATAGGAGAGCATAAAATACATTTTAGTATTTTTCTAATTATAAAAATGATAAATGCACATTGTAAAAAAAACAAGCAATATATAGAGAAAAATGTTTTACAAAAATATTAACCAGAATAATTAAGCTTTTAAAAAGTAAATTTTGACATTTAAATCACTAACCTTAGTTATTACAAAATTAACTCCCTAGAAGGTAGATGGTTTTTACTGTGCTCAAAGCTAACAGTGTGAGATACAATTATAACCAACAGACTATTGCTCAATCTAAAGTGGTTATTAGACATGCAGTTAGAATACAACATACTTAACTGCATGCCTAATTTGAGCTCCAGACCCACATTTCCAGTTACCTGAGACACAGCAAGTATAGCAGTTAAAGATTCAGGCTTGGATTCAGACACATTGCTATTCCAGTCTCAGCTCCACTTACCAGGTAGGTGACCTTGGACATGTGAAAGAAGTGTGGCAGATACTCAGTGTGACAGAAATAATAGCTACTATCCTCTCTACCATCCTATCATCATTACCATTACTGATGTCCTTCCAGAAATGTGCATGCTATAGTCTAGGAATGGGGAACACATATAGCTGAAGCTTAAATAATACAAACTTAGGTATATCCAATCAATAGACTGAGCACTTTTTATTGCCCGACAACGATTACAGGAATTGAACCTGGAAAGGCAGACTGGGACAAATTCTACCCCTGATAAAATCTTCATCCTATGTTCCTTATTTCTGTCAAAGGCACCAACATTCCTTCAGTTGCTTAGGCATTAAGTATCCTTGTCCCACCCCTCTCCATCAGCCTCTATGTTTGGTTATATATAGCTACATTACATCTATGCTTGGTTATATACACTGGCTCTCGTATCTGTTCACCAGCTTGCCTAATTCCTACAACCACCTGGCCAGTTGCTCATGCTCCCCTAAAACAGCCTTTTCCTTAGTGTTCCTATTTTCAGTTTATCCCCACCTACCAACCATACTACTCCCAGATTGATTTTCTTCAAAGAAAACTGGTATACCACTTTCTTGCTCAGAAGTCTCAGATGACTCCCCTCTGCTACCAAAATTCAATGGTTCTACACCTCAGGGCTGGTCAAAAGACAACCTCAACGTATTTTTCTACATTAACAATAGCTCCTCAACACATCCTTTACACTCCCAGGCAAAATGGAGTCACTCTATACTTCCAACTACCCTGCCTTTTTTTTTTTTTTTTTTTTTTTTTTTTTTTAAAGATTTTATTTATTTATTTGACAGACAGAGATCACAAGCAGGCAGAGAGGCAGGCAGAGAGAGAGAGAGAGAGAGGAGGAAGCAGGCTCCCTGCTGAGCAGAGAGCCCGATGTGGGGCTCGATCCCAGGACCCTGGGATTATGACCTGAGCGGAAGGCAGAGGCTTAACCCACTGAGCCACCCAGGCGCCCCTACCCTGCCTTTTTTTAATGCCAATCCCTGTATTTGTCTTAAGTCTATGAAAGTATTGTTATATTTATTTTTTTAATAAAAAAAAACTTTGGATTTTTTTCTGGATTACTAAAGTAACATACAGTTAATACAAAAAATTCAAACATTACAGAAATGCATGGACTTAGAAACTTGTCATGATCCCATCCCTGAGAATTAACCACTGTTAATATGCTTCTAGATTTCTTTAATGATATAACATTGTGTTTATGTCTACATATGTATTTTTTAAAGATTTTATTTATTTATATGAGAGAGAGAGAGTACGTGTGTGCGCGCAAGCATGGGGGAAGGAGAGGGACAGGCAGACTCCCTGCTCAGCATAAAGCCCACCATGGGACTAGATCCCATCACCCTGAGATCATGACTAGAGCCAAAACCAGGAGCTGGACACTCAACCGACTGAGCCAACCAGGCGTCCGCCCCTATAGATATTTCTATGAACAGAAATGCAATCATACTCTTCTTTAAAAAGACATTCTCACTAAACAATGCTTAATAGGTCTATTTTGGACCTACTTTCATGTCAGTATATATAGAACTTTCTCTAAGCTTTTTAATAACTGCAAAATATTCTTTTATATGGGCTAACAATTTTACATACCACATTTTTCAATGTTATACATTTGAGTTGTTTAGTCTTTGCCATTTCAAATAATATTGCAGTGAATGTCCTATTTTTTGTCATTTGTAAAGGATAAATACCTAGAAACTGAATCGCTACATTAGAAGACATATACTTCTGAAATTTTGACAGATGATTCTAAATTGCTGTCTGAAAAGGATGTGCCAATTTATACTGCCACTTAAATTCAGATTTTACCTATTCTTACTTTCACTATCAATGGGTATTCACTTATCCTTAATATTTGCCAATCTAATAAGTTATATAAAAATCATGTTTTAATTTACGTTCCTTTAATTACAGAGATTAAATATCTCTTCATAGGGGCACCTGGGTGGCTCAGTGGGTTAAGCCTCTGCCTTTGGCTCAGGTCATGATCTCAGGGTCCTGGGATCGAGTCCCGCGTCGAGCTCTCTGCTCAGCAGGGAGCCTGCTTCCTCTTCTCTCTCTTCCTGCCTCTCTGTCTACTT